ATCCAGCAAGCTCCTCAGCCAGCTCTTTTAAAGATCTTGGATGCAAGTCCGTTCCCTCCTTTCTGCCTGTTTCCCAATCTATAAAATGGGCCCCTGTCTCCGAGCAGGGTCTGGGTAGCACCTGGTGTCTCGGTCCTGCGTGGAGTAGTGGAGGAGAGGTGGCAGTGCGAGCAGTGAGGGATCCTGGGGCGTATTTGCTGTTGTCTCAGTCGGATGCTCAGCTGCCGCTTGCCATGGACATGTGCTGGCAGGTTTGCTTAGCCGTTCCCGGGCCCAAAGCAGGGCAGAGAGCGGTGGAAGGCTGCTGGTGCTGTGCTGAGGTGTCCCAGCGCCAAGTAAATGTTGGAACGCTGTAGTGAGGCTCGGTCTTCCTGGAGTCCCTTTGACCTGAGGTCTAAAGCCCTTCGCAAATGTTAGCTACTCCTCACCCCCTGGCTGGTCCCCCTGATTGCAACTGGGAAACAGGCAGAGACCAATCCCAAGGCTGCCATTAAAGCACAGCCCATCCCCTAACATCTGGGTGTTCTCCAGGGGTGGGGGCAGGCTGTGCCGGTGTCCCCATAACGGACGGGCCCCCTCACTATCTCACTCATCGGGGCTCAGTCCTGCTCGGCTCCCCCAGCTGGCTGGCTGCAGGGCCTGGGGCCCGCGCTCAGGGTTGGCGAAGGGGGCACGAGGAGGGGGGCGGTGCAGAAGGCTGTGCACAGGAGCAGAGCTGCGGCAGGGGTTCAGATCCCTGCGAGCTCGAGTGGCCATCAGCACAGGACAATGGCGCACTGAGCCGGGAGACGCACACTGGCCTGCCCAGCCCTGTGCTGCCTCTGGGGGGGCCCATGCCACACCACACAGTCCGTCCCCCCCCCAGCTTCCTATGCCCAGCTTCCCCTGGACCCACAATGCCAAGCACCCCCCCGCCCACAACTGCCCTGCACACCACCACCCCTGCCCAGCACTCCCCCCACCCACAGCCCCACAACTGCCTGGCACCCCAACGCACGCAGATCTCCCGCACCCTGTACTACCCAATGCCCTTCCCCACAGCCCCCCCACTACAACTACACAGCACTCCCCACACACTCCCCACTGCCTAGCACTCCAAAACACACAAACCTCCCCCACTGCCCAGCACCCCCCGCCCCCTCACAGATCAGCACCTCCCCACAGAGACCCACCCCCCGCAGAGCAGGGATCCCCCCTCCCAGCACAGTCCTAGGGGGCAGAACAGCTGACGCTTGGGAGCACAGTGCGGTCCCATCCTCCGGGCCCCCCCCACCTGCCTGGCGCTGGTGCCCGCGGCGGAGAGGAGGCGTTTCCTTGCAGGGGTGGGGCAGCCAGGGAGCTGGGTGCTGAGGAAAGCTGGGGGCCTGCTCCTCTGAGTCCCCTCCCAGGATAAGAGGCCTTGTGCCTGCAGAGACTGCCCACCATGGCCCAGTCACTGGGAACTGGCCTCCACCCCACCAACCCACTTTCTTGCGGCATGGCCAGGCAGCTGCCGTGGCCTGGCCTCCCCGCTGCCCGGCCGAGGCTCTGGCTGGCTTATGTTGAGGTTTGGGGGTTTGGATCTGAGCCCTGGGGTGGGCACTGGAAGGGAGCCCAGCCTCACGCGGGGAGCGCTGCTGCTCAAGGCAGGGTCTGACATGCATCTGCCAGCGGGAGCGTGTGCCGAGGTGATATCTGCTCTTCCCTACCTGTTTGCCAACTGCCTTGTTCCCTCTGTGCAGCCCCCCAGGCTACCGCCGACAGTTCGCCTGCGACAAATCGGAGGAGGAGCGAGCCCCTTTGGAAAGCACGCACAGGTCCAGGTACTCCTCCAGGAGCCACCTGAGTGACAGCGACACAGAGAGCAAGCCAGCGGAAACCTCAGCATAGCCCCGGGAGGCTGCCTGGAGGGACGCATTTTCCACAGCCTCAGAAATACTCTGCCTCGCAGATCCGTGAGCTGGCCCATGCCAGGCCTCGGCAACCCTCAGACCAGCCTCCAGAGAGCTCCTGATGGCCCCTTGGCAAGCGCCTTGCCTGGGAAATGCTGCGTTTACAGATTGTCACCACCTCCGATGTCTTGTGTGCACCCAGTATGTCCTGCATGGTGGAAAATGTTCATCTGAAGCCCTCTCCTCCGACCCCTCCCTCTGAGCGAACACAGCCCTGTCCGCGTGGGCGAGGCACCAGCCAGGCTGGCCGACAGCAGCTGCAGTGCCCTCGGATGGGGTGAGCTGGCACCTCCGGACCAGACTGGGCATTGTGGGGCTGGTCAGTGTTCCTTCCCCCAGTTCCTGCCAGCTTGCCCCACCCCCGCGACCCCCATGGCCACCTCCATTGCTGCTCCATTCTCAGTGGAGGGGAAGCTGAGCTGGTCTTCAGGGGCTTTTTTCCTCCTCAGTGCCTGCTGTCTTTTTATTTTATAACTTAACACACACACCCCCCGCCCGTGTGTGTCTGGTGCAGACGGGAGGGGCCCTGGCAGCACCCGTTTCCACCGTCACTCCTTCCCTTTCAGCTGAGCCAAAGGTGACACTTTCTGATCTGGCTTAAAAAACCCAGCGAAGAATGAAGCTGGTTTCCTGGTGCAGCTGTCAGCGGGGATCTGCGTGTGACAGCACAGTCCAGGCACGCCTGGGTGTGCATCTCGCACACTCACGCTCACTCTGCTGCTGCATGTGGGCTTTCCTTGCACATGGTTTTCTGTTCCCCAGGCATGGTGATTTATTTTGGGTCATTTCTTTTTCCAGGGGCTTGTGCCTAGCACACAGTTTTGTTTGAAATAAAATGTAACCCTGCCCCGTCCACACGCATGTGCACACGCGGTGTCTGGAGAGCATATGTGGCAGGCGCTCTGCGGCACACACACACTCATTCACACCCACGCTGTCTGCTGAGCCTCTGGGCAGGAGCTCCACGGCGCCTCCTCTGGGCATCCAGAATAACTGCATCTGCTCACTTTGGAAGTGTGCCAGGGCTCTTCTCCACAGATGCCCCCCTACTGACGTTGCTGCCTCCAGGACTCAGCGGCTGCCCCATGTCCCCGGAGCCAGCTGTGTGGGTGTGGTCATCTCTGCTGACTTCTCAGCAGCTGGACTGGACACTGGGGAGCTGCCCGGCCCTGCCTGTCTGGTTTGCACTAGTTCGGCTGTGCGTCTTTTCCTACCCGTTTAAATATTAAATGTCATTTATGGCTGGTGACGCTGGCTCCTCCCCTCGGGTGGTTTGTTGCAGTGCGGGGAGGGGACGTGAGGTGGGGGCGGGGGTGCACCGGCGTGGCCGGGTTTAGCACTCGGACAGGAAGTGGTGGTTTTACTGCGGGTAGCAGTGCGAAAGCTGCGCAGGGCACGGAGCCTGCAGGGGTGAAGCTTTTGGGGAGGGATGCGGGGTGCAGCGATGTGAGGTAACCCAGCGTGGCATTTCCGTGCCGGCAGCAGCCTGTCACAAAGTGTGGCCACGGCCTGGTTCCTGGGGTTGTGGGCTGAACCTGGTGCTGCGGTGCAGGGAGGAAGATCTGTGCTGGCTCAGGTCTTGTGTCTTCGTTCTCAAGTCCCCCAGAAGTCGGATGCTAAGTGCAGGGTCGGACCTGTTCACTCCCAGCAACTAGTGAGGGGGCTGGAGTCCGCCCGCAGCCAGGGCAGAGCTGCTCGGCCATTCGAGCTGCCTGGGGTGCAGGCTGGGAGCTCCTGAGGCTTGGTGTGGATGGCCAGGGGCCACGAGGCTCTGGCAGGGCTTTCAGGCACAGCTGACCTGTGGCTGTCTTGGAGCTTTGCTTCCCACTCGCTCCTATCCCCGGCGGCCCTCTTAGCCCGTCCTGAACAGCAGTCCCGTGCTGGAGCCCTGGCTCTGTTAGTTGAGGGCCCAGCCGTGGATGATCTCCTGGCCCCAGTCCCTGCAGCTGCCTGCCCACTCCAACCCTACGGCTGTTAGTGCAGCTAGTGTGCTGGGGCTGGGGCGAGGAGCCGGGGCCAGGCCGCGTGGGGCTTGCAATGTTTCAAGTGCCAGGTGCTCCAGGAGAAGAGGTGCCCAAGGAATCTCAGCCACAAATCTCGGCTTGTTTGGAGCAGATGGTGCGTGCCAAGCGCTCGGGCGCTGCAGGCTGACCCACCTGTCTGCTGCTCAGCATAATCACCGAGAGACGTGTCCCGGCGTGAACAGTCGGTGAGTGGAGTCGAGCAGTGAAGCCCCAGCCTCTGGGCTCAGGCCGGCTTGGCATGGGGTTCAGCCTCTCAGACGGGGCCTTGTACCCCTGTCACAGTCACATGTGGCCCTTGCCTGCCTCTCTGCCCCCCTCAATTCACCCACATGACGGCTCCCTCTCACCCCTGCTGCACCAGCACCCACTTCCTGAGCGGGCAGCCTCAGCCCCGTCCATCCCTGCTGATGCGGTAACCAGGCAAACACCCTGCAGAGACAATGGTGCTGGGCCAGGTCTGAATGCCCCTGGGCCAGGCCCTGCTTCCCCTGTTCCTTGCCATGGCCCCTCCAGTGCGTCCATAATCCCCGCGCTCCTGTTGGGGGCTGGGTGTTTGCCACAACGCAGGGTGGGGTCTCACCAGGAATGCGGATCCCTAGGGCCTTGTGTGACAATGGAAGAGCCCCGGCTGGCAGCATCTCCTGCCTCTCTCCCCAGCACGGGCAGCCCAGCTCTTCTCCCAGGCCCGAGCCCCCCTGCTTTGTCTCCACGCCTGCAGCAGCCGGGCGCGTTCCCGGTCCCTTTCCTGCCTCCCCTAAGGTAGCACCCGGTCCGTGCTCACCTACTGTCTCACCAGGGGCAGGCCTTGGTGGTCCGTCACCCCACCCCAACTTGCCTGCTGCCTCGTGGCTCCTGCTCGTGCTGCTGGTCGGAGTCAGTTTGGGCATCTCCGTAAAGGGGTAATTAGCCAAACCCCCCCGCCCCCCGGAAAGCGAGCACCAGGAAAGGGCAGAGCACACACGTGGTTTATGGCTCAGCGCCTTTGCAGGATGCTTGGGAGAAAACCTCTGCTGAATATTTGCTACGTGACACACGAGAGCTGCTGGCAGAGAGCAGGGGAATGGGCCAGGCAAGGGGCACGTGGCAGAGGGAGGGAGGTGGAGGCTGGGCAGGTCTGGAGCGTGGTGGTGCCCTGGGCTGGGGCTTTGGAGGTGCTGAGCCAGGAGAGCCTGCTGGCCCCATAGTGCTGTGCTCCAGGCCCCTGGGCCGGCCCTCACTTGCCCCACCACGACCGTCTGCCTGGGGCCCAGGCCTGCCCTACTGCCCACAGCGATTCGCGCTGACGTGTGTCGGCTGCTGCTTTCCCCCAACCCCATTTCCATCCCCCACGGGCTCCTGGACGTGCCCAGCTGGGCTCCTCCCGTTAAGGCCGTGCTGAGCCACATGCCCCAGCCCGGTTCTGCCTGGCTCGGGGGGAGGGCGGGCAGCCCGTCCTGGCCCCGCGGGCTCTGGGGCGCTCCCCGTGGGCGGCATGCCGGGCCGGCGATCCCCCCGCCCCGGCTGGAGCCCAGCTGGCTCCCCACCCCCCCAGGCAGGGCCCCGAGTCCCCTTGCTGCTGTTGTCACTTCCCCGATTGCCTCTGCCACGGCACATGAGTGCAGCCGCCTGCCCAGGGCTTCATTGCTGCCAGCCTGGCGGGAGCGGGATGGGGGCCCTGGGCTGCCTCTGCATGGCCCGTGCTGGCGTCCGAGCCCATGGGACAGAGCAGGCTGGGCTGGCCAGGACCCCCGGCATTCACCTGCACAGCCCCTGGCATGCTGCCCCCTGGTCTGGCCCTGCACTGCCCGGTCCAACCTGCCTGGCCCCCCCCAGCACGCTGCCCCCTGGCCCTGCCTGGTCCAACCCGCCTCCCCCCAGCATGCTGCCCCCTGGCCTAGCCCAGCCCTGCCCGGTCCAACCTGCTTCCCCCCCAGCACGCTGCCCCCTGGCCCTGCCTGGTCCAACCCGCCTCCCCCCAGCATGCTGCCCCCTGGCCTAGCCCAGCCCTGCCCGGTCCAACCTGCTTCCCCCCCAGCACGCTGCCCCCTGGCCCTGCCTGGTCCAACCCGCCTCCCCCCAGCATGCTGCCCCCTGGCCTAGCCCAGCCCTGCCCGGTCCAACCTGCTTCCCCCCCAGCACGCTGCCCCCTGGCCCTGCCTGGTCCAACCCGCCTCCCCCCAGCATGCTGCCCCTGGCCTAGCCCAGCCCAGCCCTGCCCGGTCCAACCCGCTTCCCCCCCAGCACGCTGCCCCCTGGCCCTGCCCAACCCTGGCCCTGGCCCTGGCCCTGCATTGTTGGATCCAACCCCACCCGCCATGGGCTAGGGCAGCTCAGCCCCCGTGCAATGGGTGGGAGGGGCTGGCCCAGCCCTGCCACCTTGGCTCCCCCTGGCTCCTGGCCTGCCCCACTTTCCGTGTCCCGCCCCCCTGCTCTCTATGGAGGGTGTTTGAATCATTTATAAATCGTAATAAATATGCAGATAAGAAGCAGGGTCTGGGAGCCCTCGGGCAGCTGGTGTTAATTATTTAAAGTTATGGTAATTTGAAGGAGCTGCTCATTTGCATAATCACACTCATAATCTCTGCAGCACGGTGCCCTGGTGTATGCTGGGTAGCAGAGGCCCGGCCCAGCCTCAGCCCCTTCCCTAAGCGTTACCGCTGGAGGGCCTTTGGCTAGGCTGGGAATGGGCACCCAGAGGCCACCAGCAGCACCCACAGCCTGGCTGGAGACGCTGCTCCTCACTTCCTGCCCCGCCTCCTTGCTGCAGAGCCCCCCAGCTTCTGCCCTGCGCTTGGAAGGGTCACTGAACTGAGAGCCTGGGCCCTCACCCCCCCCATCTTGCCCCCCTTCAGTGGGGGGAAGTGCTCACCACCACCAGGAGGGGAGTTGGACATCTGTGATGAAGAGGGACTGTTCTTAATGTTTCCTCTGAATAGTGTGGGGGTGCCTCAGTTTCCCCTAGGCAGTTCTTAAGTATCTAGGTGGTGGGGTAAGGGTGTATGATCATTGCAGAGCCCTAGAGGGCAGGTGTGTGCAGGGGTCTGGACACAGAGAATGGCCAACACTCTGTTTCCTGGCCACTGATGGCCTGGGCCCTTCCCCCCTGCCAGGTGAGAGCTAAAGGGTTGGAGAACAAAGGAATCAGGTGCCCACCTGGCCCGGGAAAGGGACAAAGCCCAGAGGAGGAGGGGCTGGAGGGAGTTTCAGTTTGGGGCTGGCTGGTCGTTGGGGTTCTCCAGGATATCAGCTGCAAGACCCTGTTGTGGGGTGACTGTGTCTTTTTGGGACAGGATCCAGGCCCTGCTCCTGTAACTGCTGAGGGTTTGAATTTGAATCCAGGGAACCAATCGGCGGAGAGGGAAATGGTCAGTGAAAATGCAGATGACCTGGCTGGCAGCAGGGAGGAGCCGCTAGGCTCAGGCTACCTGTCTGCCTGTAACCAGACCCCTGGGGCTGGGTGGGACAGAGAGATGCTCCCCGCCCCCTTGCACACCGGAGAGGGGGCTCAGGCTGGCTCTGATGCAGTGAGGAAAGCAGGGAGCTTGCTGCCTACCCCCACTGGGACAGCAAGGGCAGCGCTGAGCACAGTGGGAGCTGAGACCCCAGCTGGGTGGGGGGAGACACAGGCAGGGCAGGGGATCTGTGGGGAGTGGCAAGGTGCTTGGTAAGGGAAGTTTGGATGAGCCTAGGCAGCCTTGTGAGCTGATGGCTGTGTCTAGTCAGCAGGGTGGGAAGGCGAGGAGAGTGGAAGAGGAGTGTCCCTGGAGCTTACCTGTTAGCTGGGTGGAGAATTGTGAGAGTGAAGGAAACGTGCCTGTGTCTGTCAGGGGTATTGATGTGACGAAGTGGGACTGTTCTTGATGTTTCCTCCGAGTGGTGTGGGGGTGCCTCGGTTTCCCCTGAGCAGTTCTTGGGTGTCTAGGTGGTGGGGTAAGGGTGTATGATCATTGCAGAGCCCTCGAGGGCAGGTGTGTGCAGGAGTCTGGACACAGAGAATGGCCAACACCCTGTTTCCTGGCAACTGATGGCCTGGCCCTTCCCCCCTGCAAGGTGAGAGCTAAAGGGTTGGAGAACAAAGGAATCAGGTGACCACCTGGCCCGGGAAAGGGACAAAGCCCAGAGGAGGAGGGGCTGGAGGGAGTTTCAGTTTGGGGCTGGCTGGGACATGGAGTGAAGTGCAGACGTGGTTGTCTGGCTCACTGCCCCCCAAAATGGACCCAGCTGAGGGGTCCCGTTCTCTGCACCTGCAAGCTCTGTTTTAGACCATGTTCCTGTCGTCTAATAAACCTTCTGTGTTACTGGCTGGCTGAGAGTCACGTCTGACTGCGGAGTTGGTTTGCAGGACCCTCTGGCTTCCCCAGGAGCCCCGCCTGAGCGGACTCGCTGGGGGAAGCACACGGAGGGGCAGAGGATGCTGAATGCTCTGAGGTCAGGCCCAGGAAGGTGGAAGCTGTGTGAGCTGTGTGTCCTGCAGACAGGCTGCTCCCAGAAAGGCGACTGCCCCAGAGTCCTGCCTGGCTTCGTAGGGAGCAGTTCCAGAGCATCGCCCGGGGACTCCGTGACAGTCAGGGGTATTGACTTGCCTATGGAGGGAGCTACCCTGATCTCCAAGCAGTTGTCTGTGACCAGCCTTGTGTGCTGGGACAAGGGGAGAGAGGTCCCAAGCTGTGTTTCTGGGAAAGGAGAAAGTGTGTCCGGCTCTTCTTTGTCTGTGGAGCAGACAGAAGGGGCCTTTTCAGCCTGTGACAGTTGAGGGTCGTGCAGGTGTCTCAGAGCTGGTTCTGGATTCAGCTAAAGCCCAGGAAGGGAAGGGTCCTAAGTTTGTGTCTGCTCGGGAGAATGGCCCTGTAATTAGGTCGCATCCAGTTAGTGTCTATGTAAAATCCCAGAGACTAGACAATTCTGGTGCTTGTATTTTGCCTGTTGCTAGTGTGTTGTTGGGAAAGGGTGTAGCAACTCTGTCTGATCAGGGTGAGATCCTAGCCAGGGCACAAGGAGAGCAGAAAGGTGATTTGATCCTGTTACAGGTTTCCACACCCTCAGTAGGTAACAAGAAGGAAAAGATTCCTGAACTTGTGTGTGGCAAAGGGAAGGAGAATGCTTCTGACCTTTTATCTAGGAAGTCTGTAAGTTTGCCTGAAAGGGGATTGTGTAGGAATCCGCTGGATGGGCCAGAGGTAATTCTGGATGTAAGGGAGACCCAGAAAGAGTTTGTTGTTGCTCAGGAAAGTGTTCCTCTAGAGCAAGCCCTAGGTGAAGAGGGCAAGGGCAGAATTTCTGTGAAGGGTGAATTGTTGCATAGAAAAGCCCCTGGGGAAAGGAATCCTCATGGTTGTCTGTGCAAGCAGTTTACCGCAACTGAAGGGTGTGAAAGTGATTTAATCCAGAAAGTTTCAGTTTCTAACAGCCAGAAATTTTCTGTTGTGAATGGATCCACTGACTTTCCTGTTGAAGGATCCAGTGTGGATAGCTTTGAGAAGGCCTCAGATGGAGTGAAAGCTGTTAAGAAAGTTAAACAGTCCTATAACCAAGTGGCTGTGTTTGGCCAGCTTGTTGGGGAGACAAGGTTGTGGAGAAAGGGATGTCTCCATGCTGATTCTGTAAATGAACAGTATGTGGCCCAGGTCAAGATGGGGGCTCTTAACCAAGAGAGCCCGAATTGCAGGCCTCCAGACTGGAGCACTGGGAGAAGACCCGATCCCAGTTTCACCCCCTGGGGTTTTGGGGTGGCAAAACGGCACGGGCCGCATAAACCTTCCCACATGTGGCATGAAAGTTGTCACAGAGTCCCCGGGCGATGCTCTGGAACGGCTCCCTACGAAGCCAGGCAGGACTCTGGGGAAGTCTCCTTTCTGTGAGCAGACTGTCCCCAGGGCAAGAAGCTCACACAGCTTCCACCTTCCTGGGTCTGACCTTGGAGCATTCAGCATCCTCTGCCCCTCAATGCGCTTCCTACAGTGAGTCCACCCAGGCGGGGTCCTGGTGAAGCCAGAGGGTCCTGCCCCACAACTCCACAGTCAGACATGACTCTCAGCCAGCCAGTAAAACAGAAGGTTTATTAGACGACAGGAACATGGTCTAAAACAGAGCTTGTAGATGCAGAGAACAGGACCCCTCCGCTGGGTCCATTTTGGGGGGCAGTGAGCCAGACAACCACGTCTGCCCTTCACTCCATGTCTCCAGCCAGCCCCAGACTGAAACTCCCTCCAGCCCCTCCTCCTCTGGGCTTTGTCCCTTTCCCGGGCCAGGAGGTCACCGAATTCCTTTGTTCTCCAAGCCATTAGCTCTCACCTTGCAGGGGGGAAGGGCCCAGGCCATCAGTGGCCAGGAACCAGGGTGTCGGCCATTCTCTGTGTCCAGACTCCTGCACACACCTGCCCTGTAGGGCTCTGCAGTGATCATACACACTTACCCCACCCCCTAGATACTTAAGAACTGCATAGGGGAAACTGAGGCACCCCCACACTATTCAGAGGAAACATTAAGAAGAGTCCCGCTTCATCACACTGCCCTCAGCCGGACACCCAGGGCGAGGCCGGGCTGTCCCCACGCAGGACCTGGCCACGTGTCCCTGCAGCCAGGCATGGCAGGCCCAGCCGCAACCTGCCTGGTCCATGGGGCTGTGTCCAGGCTGGCGGCTGTGAGGAGTGTTGACCTGGGAACGTGGCAAGGGCGTTTCACTGGGCATGGGAGACCTGAGCCAGGAGGGGGAGGTAACACCTCTGCCCTGCCCCAGAAGGTGGACAAAGGCTGCAGGAGAGAGCCTGCTGGGGAGCGTTTCAGTTTGGTGCTGGGTGGAGGTACGCAGGGAACCCCAGGGCTGGGGTCTAAGCTCCCTGCCCCCCAGAAGGACTTGACTGAGGGGTCCTGGTGGTACCCACAAGCTCTGTTTTGGACTGTGTTCCTGTTGTCCAATAAACCTTCTGTTTTACTGGCTGGCTGAGAGTCTCAGTGAATACCAGGAAGAGGGGTGCAGGCCCCGGACTCCCCCACACTCCGTGACAGCAGCCGGTGCAAAGGCCCCGGCCTCACGTGATCGCTTGGAAACAAATGGGGCAGGCTGGGCGCACGGCGCCATAAAGCCGGCCCTGCACTAATGCGCTTTCATTAAGTGGGAGCGATCTAATGATAATAAAATGGCACATTTAACATTAAAACATTTCACTTGCCCCCTAAGCGAGTGTGTCGCTCCCGCTCAGACAGCTCCATCTTCATGAGCCTGACAAGGCCATGATGAGCTTGGGCCAAGTGGGCCCCCTGCACAGCGAGCGCGGGGTGGGGGGGCACCAGCCACGTCGCTCCTGCTGAGGAGGCCGTTTCGTGTGTGGGGCCAGGCCGGGGGCAGCTCAGGCTCCCTTCCAGGGTGAGCTTGGGCCAGCTCCATGGAGGAGGCACCTTGCGCCCAGGGCTCGCTGCTGGCTGGGCATGGAGCGAAGTGGGGCCAAGGTGGGCGTTAGGGTCTCATGGCGCCATCGGTCGATCTCCGAATGAGCCAGAGACCCCCCCACCCGTCTGCCAACCTTCACCCAGCGTGGTGGGGCTTGTTCAACTTGCTGGGGCCCAGGGAGCCCCCAGTCCCCTCCACGCCGGCCGCGGGTGAGAGAGAGAGCTGGTGCACGGGGGCTGGCTTGCCAGGTGTTTATTGGTTGGAACAGGAGCGGGGAGCCCCGTGTTCCCCTTGTCTTGGGGCTGTGTGTGCCCAGCAGGGGGGGATGCTGAGACCCAAACAAACAGGGGAACAGAGCCTGGGCCGAGGGGGTGACCCCTGCGCTCAGCTCGAGCATCCGGGCTCAGCCAGAGCTTGGGGGCCAGTGACGCTGGTGGCAGAAGCCCCTGGGCCCAGCGCAGGGCAGGCTACAGGGCAGCGGGGGGCAGGGCTGGGAAGCGTCGGATGCCAAACGGCTCCATGGTGTAGGACGGCTCCTCCCCCACACTGAGTTGGCACAGGAGCTTCCCGACCACCGGCGCCAGCTTGAACCCGTGGCCTGTGTGGGCAGAAGTGCGGAGACTCCAGTCAGCTGGGAACGGCCGCCCCGAGAGCAAGCCCTAGGCCGCGGGCACTGCCCATGCTCGCCTGCCCCCGGGGGCTGGCATGGTGCTCGGCCCCCCCCCACTCCCCACCCCAGCCAGTGTCCCTGGGAACGCCCGGGGGGCCCTGCAGCTGGGGGAGGGGGGTCTGCACCACACCCGCCCCGTGGGGTGGGACCAGCACTGGGGCAGGGCTGAGCAGTGGCAGCAGATTGAACAGGGCCTAGGGATGGGGCAGGGGGACCGCTGGGCCATCCCAGCCCTATGGGGAACACCCCGGTCCTAGGCAGCCGTCCCCGGCGCTGCTTTGGCACTGGGAGCAGGTGCTGAGCCCCTGCCCGACTTACCTGAAACCCCCCCCACATCCTGCCCCACTCCTGCTTACCCAAGACCCCCCCCCCGCATCCTGCCCCGCTCCTTCTTACCTGAGAACCCCCTGCCGCCCCACCCCCACTTACCTGAGAACCCCGCCCCAATGACGATGTTGCTGAACTTGGGGTGCCGATCCAGAACGAAGTCTTCATCTGGGGTGTTCTGTGGGGAGCCAGTGTGTGTGTCAAGGAGGGGAGAGCCTCACCAATTCACAGTCCCCAGGGTGGGCAAGGGGGACACTGGTGCCCTGGCTCCTGCCGGAGTGGGGAGGGTCTGGGAGCACCCGAGTGACTTTGGGAGCCATCACCTGGCCTGTCCATCACCACCCATGTGGGGCATGAACTGGGAGCAGGTGTCTAAGCAGAGGCCAGGCTGCTGGGGAGCCAGGACTCCTAGGTTCTAGCCCTGGCCCTGGCAGGGGCGTAGGGGCTAGCAGGTTGGGGGGGCAGGGGGAGTTGGGAGCCAGGACTCCTGGGTTCTGGTCCTAGCTCCAGGCAGGGGTGACCATTTGAGCTGGCAGGCCCTGGGAGGGGAGGGGAGGGGAGTTCTCAGGCCAGGTCTCCCAGCTGCCCCTCACCGTGTACATGCAGTGCTCCACCACGGCCGGCTCCGGCACCAGGCCTGGCAGGTACTTGCTGACAAAGTCCTGGAGCACCTGGATGTCAGGCAGGCCTGGGGCCTCGGGCGGCCGGTCGCGCTCTTCAGGGTCTGCCGGGCTGCCAGAGTGATAGCAGATCTGGGGCGGTTTGAGGAGGGAGGGTCAGGCCAGCCCTGCTCCTTCCCAGCCAGCCCCCGCCGAGCACCCCTGGGCTCCCGCCCACCGCCCCGGCCCCCAGGCTCCCTCCCCCCGGAGCTCTGCACTCGTCCCCACCCCCCGCAAGGGCAGGGTTGGCAAAGC